TGGGAATCTCGTTAATCCATTCATGCGCGTCACTAATTAGATGACGAGGCATTTGTAAACACATGTGGTTTGTGAACCTCAAAGCAAAGTACAAATGGTAGGTGTGGCACCCATCAAGAATTGGCAAAATGAATTACTTGTTTCTACTAGATTCAACAAAGGGACTTGTTTTTTAGTGTCAGTAGGGCATGTAAACATACTTATTGTCGAGAAATAAATGTACAGGTTGTGCTTTGTTCCATGCAATACAGAGACTTTGAAAGTTGAGGTTTTTCATAACTCGGGAGTCACGTGGCAAGAAATGTGGAGATTAAGTATTTTTAGAGGTTTCTTTTGAAATAAAGGAATTAAAACTTAAATAAAATATAACTTCAAATTATAACATACATTATACAGTTAATTTTCTTGACTACAATGGTAGTAAAGTTGTTTAGTTAAATTTTGAATGTAAATCATGACTTGTGCAGAAAGGGGTTTAAAGTGGTGCCCATAGTGAAAGGGTTAATGTGGTTTTGCATGCTATCATGTGTGACCCATTGGCTTCATGCTTTTTGTACCATTTTTCTTTCTCACATCTTATCGACTTCTCTGAATGTAGATGCTTCCAGGCTATTTCGTATGTCTTCACATTCCATTCGTCACCTTTCTCATTCTCTTGCTTTCCTTCTTTGCTGGCCCAAAGACGTAATTTTCCAGGTGGGCATGTAGATGACACCCCACAAATTCATCGCTCCTTCTCTTCACTGTCTGGCTCTTTTGTTTCTTGCAGGATTTCAATTTCCACCAGTCACCATACTTAAACATACCCGCCATCTTTGAAAGGGGGTACATATGTTTCCTGTTTCATTTCCCTCTCTTTCCATTGAAAATGATTCTGCCAGGTGGCTGATGTTGCCTCCTAATGTATGCTTATTTCCCAAAATCCACATTGAACAAAGATAATGGGAAGTGCTCAAACCATCAACCCTGGCTCTTCTAGTGCCCACTGCAAGATGGAACATTTTGCAAGACTGCTTGTGTTATTCTTGTGGTATGCAAATTACTCAATTGGCTGATCCAGACTGTACTAATTTGATGAACTATCATGGAAAATGTCAGCACCAGATAAGTGAATGCCCACTTCTTTGGCTCTTGTTCACTGACTTTTAAAAATGGGAATTTGAGGTCACCTGTTGCACTGTCTCCAGTAAAAGACCTTTCCGGCTAGTGTTCCAATGGGGATCCAGACACTTCTCAGGGTCTCCCCAACATGAATTCTTCCCCTCCCTTCTTCTTCGAGTGGAGCCTGGGAGACACTTGCCATTTACTAGTTCCAAGATGCTGGGGTGATGAACCATAAATAAACCTCACTAGTTGAGCTTAGTGCAATATGTTGAGAAATGGGGCAGTAATGACACTGTCAGTTTAACACAAATCTCACCCCTTACAAATGTAATACATAACTTATGTGCTCTTCTCATGAAACCAATGTCTGTTCACTAGAATCAAGGGAAGGACAACCACACCACACATATTGTTCAAGTGCTCCAACAGTCATGTGTCTGCAACACTTAGGACTCACTTCCCTCTGCCCCATTTACATTCCAAGCAAAGAGTATACCCTGGTCAAAGTGAGATGGGTGCTTTCAGGTATCACACTCCAGGGCTTCCCTTTGGGTGCTTTCTGAAGGGAGCTCATAAGGTATAAACTTTTGCAGTGGCCCCTCCACCACTTCAGCTTGGGATTCTAGCATTTCTGTACAGCAGGGTAAGTTATAATCTTGGAAATTAACATTTTACTGATGTGCAAATGTATTTCTGAAAGATACTCATCTCTTTACACATTCCCACCTATCCTCCCCACTTCTGATGCATATGTTTTTGTCTTGTTATCATGAATGTAAGTACATAGGGGAAGTTACTGTTCATGGTTTGTTTGTTTGTAATTAAGCACAAACTACACAATGGGCTATCTGTGCTCTGCCCACTACGGGTATCAAAACATGGATTCTAGCATTGTAAGTCCATAGACATACTTCTGTACCACCGGGGAGCATTACACATGTAAGTTAACTCAATAATGGCATGAAAGTCTCATAAGCAGATGAGTGAGGAAGATAGCATTTCTGTGTGCAGAGGAATCTATTGGAAATACATTGTCCAATTAGGAAAATGTTAACTTTCCCACAATCTTTTAACAACCATACTTCATTCTAAGATATAACTGTTAATAATTATGATCATCTGATGTCTTAGTTTACCAGTTTTTTTGTTTGTTTTTTTATAGCACCATGTTTTTAATGAATTATTTTTACCTGTACATCTTCCTTATTTTACAAATTTAATAAATATTTATATACAGGAATAGTACCATAATGTGAAAGAAGTAGAGTGCAGTTTTAGATATTAAATTTACAAGGGTTTGTTAATCACCCAAAATTTTAATTAGAAAGAATGTATTAGTATTTCATTTTCTTCAAATTTTGTGAAGTTCCTTATTTAGTTGTAGCAATTTTATATTTTGTATATCAGAAAAATTATAGTAGGCTAGTTTTCACAGTTGTCTACAATGCTTGTTCACAATAATATAAAAATCGAATTGGAGCCATGTTGATGATATTAGCCACAGTTTTAATTAGAAAGTAGCATTTTTTGCTTCAGATTATGTTGACCTCCTTATTTTGCTATAACAACCTAATATGTAGTGTATCTGATAAATCAGGGCTGGTGGTAGGGGGGGGGGTACTGTTTTCGTCATGCATCTCCAAATTTCACTCTGGCCCACCCAAGTTCATTTTTTGAAATTAGTAAGAAGAGTCAACAAAAGCTTCACTGCCCCCATCAACGAGGGGAGCTGGAGTTGGTCCTGTGAAAAGTATAGTATGTTAGATTTCACTATTGTGTGCAGTACTTATTCACAATAATAGTAATATCCAATAGTCACATTGCCTATTTAGAATTATTATGCACAGTATTTTAAAATAATTAATAATTTAACCCGATTTATGTGAGAAGCTACTCATCTCATGCTACAATGTAAGGAATGTTTTTCATTTAACTCTTTGTTTGGTACGGGCTCGGTCCTCGGGACTGACCTCGTTACCATTTTGTGCTTGTTATAGTTTTCATGCTATAACTTTTAAATTAGTAAGTATATGTTAACGAAGTTTGGCAGATTATCAGTAAACATTACAGTGCTTTTATACGCAAAATATCAATTTTTTTATTAAGTCTTAAGGTTTGTAAAGCAATGTTTTTCTTGTGCTTTTTTTTTCTTTTAGCATGTTGCCTATCCAACATGCAAAGTAATTTTCATTTTAAGATTAAAATACT